ATAAAATGAATGCAAGCCCAGGCCTTAAAACCAGTATTTCTACAATATTCAACATAAACATTTGTCATACATGTTAGGATAATGAGTATTGTTTTTTAAGCAAATGCAAGTAGAGTGAGCACAGTAAATCTGTGAAACTTTAGTAATACTAAATAGATGAGAATATGTGGACCCCGTAGCACTTATGAAATACATGAAGATATAGAAATATAGAAAAGTTATAGTGCTTGGGAACGAGGTTATTCCGGGCGAAAGGCCTTGGAATTAAATTCGGAAAAATTAATTTCCGACCTCGCTAGTATCGGTAGTACAATTCCGAAGGTTGTGGGTTCGATTCCCGGCTAGGTCGGAAATTAATTTTTCCGAATTTAATTCCAAGGGCTTTGCCCGGAATAACCTCATTCCCAAGCACTATAACTTATCTATATTTCTATATCTTCATGTAATACTAACTAGCACAATTTCATGCAAATTCCATTCTTTTCTATCGTTAAACTAGCACTATTTTGCACTATTTAGTAATTAGTGTTTCACGGATTTACTGTGGTCACTCTAGTGGTCTAACAATGCTGCTTTGTGATTGGATGACCTACTGGGTTAAAAGTTATAGCCTACTAGTAGTAAAAAGTCCCAGCTTTGAAAAGGAAAACATTAAATGTAATTGTAATTCAAGGCTAGTTAGCATGAATATATTGGGAGACAAGTTGGATTTGACTAAAACAATAGGTCCTGTGACTGTCATCAGCTTCACRTGCTATGAACTCACAAGCATTTGGGCTTGAGGAATAATTGCTAATGACAGCTATTCAGCCACTCAGCCCCATTAGTCTCAGCTACTCAGCTCGATTAGTCTATCTATTCTGAGCAGCTATCACCAATACCTGTTTTAATATTATCTTGTAAATAAACTTTGAAATTATGGTAATAAAGCTCAATCAATCATAAAATTGAAAATCATGGTAGGTTAAAGTCTAAAGGTATTTCACAAAAACCTCATTAGAAAATATATGTAAAAGGACCAAAATTATYACATAGGTTGTTCTATATTTAGCAATGATTAGTAGATTGAAGAGRTAAACTGAAACCAMAGTCTGAAAGGGCAGGAAAATAGARAATGAGATTTTCCCATGAGGGGAGGTGGTAAATTAAATTTTTGAAATATTAAGAGCACTAATTACAGCATTGTTGGGCAGGAAAAAATACAGCTGCAGGAGTAAAATAATTATTATTTGGCCACATTACACACCTAGCAGTGTAATACACAGTTAATTGTTTGACATGACAACACTGAAAAAGAGTACCTGAAAAACAACAATTTGTTATTGAAAGGAAGCAAACTTCAAAGCAGTTAACAGGGGGCGACAGTCATTTGGGTGTTGAAAAAACAGATACCACCAGCTTGATGCACTGATGGTGATCATATCATTTTTGAGTGTATGCTATCTGTGCAGCGCTTGGACATATCTAAATTATTATTGGGTTGGTGGTTTGGTAAAATATTGAAAAAAACCTCATTCCCGTAAATGGAAATTTCCAGAAATAGAACACAAATAATTGTTTCGAAGGATTTATTTAATAGAATGGAATCTTGGTTATCCTTATCAAACGACAAGGCAAAAACCCCTGTATCAATCAGAAAAGTTACTATATTAAAATAAATGTCATATATACACCTAATTGAAAAAACGTTGTGGGGTCCAAAAAAAGGTTATATCATCAAAGCTAAGACCAAAGGGGAGCATGGGAAGACAAACRATTATGCTAATTCCATGCGTATTGCAGTTTTCCCTTCCTGTGCACATTTTATGCATCATGGCTTTGGCATGTTGTTAATCTAGGTCGACCAACTTTTGCTCTACTGTGGATTTTTATATSTCTATATGCAAAGATAATACACATTACACTGTCTCTCTATTATTACAGATAGATATATGACATTTAATTTTTGTAATGTAACATTACTACCCRATACAGGGATTTTTTCATTGCAGTTGTTATCCACAACCAATATTGCATTTGAAAGGTGTGATTTTTGTAAACACTAATTATGGTTTCATTTATTGTATATATAGCAAATTGTACTTAAGCACATAAGAAGTAACATAGTTTTGTRAAGCAAAATTTAGTCTTTGTAATATGTAGAAAAAATCCAATATTTTGGTTAATTGTTAGACAAATTTTTAAAAAATGATTAAAAATAGTTAATGTATTACCCCAGATAATTATATATAGCATTCTTAGCCACAAATKAAGCCAACACTGTGTTTTAACAAATCAGTTTCCCTTGTACTAACTGGTGTTACCTAACAGCAAAATTTGAATAGGGAATCAGATAAAGGTACTGTACATATAGATGAASCTATGCAGRGGTGATGGTGTGGGAAGAAAGGTCATGCAAAGGAGTTTATACAGGTATTTCCCATCCACTAATCCCTGACTATYCCTTAKAMATCCCTTATGTCCACTGCCATWAACYATGYCTCACTGTCTCCTACYCAYTCCWCCCTTGCTCAGGTCCCRGTTGTACGAAGCCTGGATAGCACTATCRGATGAATAAATCTCATATASTATATAAATGTATGGGATAACAGCATCGACTTATCCACTGGATAARGATTTATTCTTWGGATAGTGCTATCATCCCTTYRTACAACYGGGMCCAGACMCTATAAAAACATAATAAAGTTATAYGACATAAAATGTYACTGTAGTGAAGTATAAATTRATATGATATAAGATGAAAGCTTAGAGGRGCATAAATGTACATAAGATGAGATCGCAACTGCCACCCGGTTAGCTTGGTTCAGTAACAGTGTATTTTGTGTGATTGGAGGTAATGGGTTGAAATGGCTCATATGACCCCTTAAATAATRATCATGTCTGTGTACATAATAGTGCAAAAAAGAGAAGGAGGTAAAAGGACCACAGATGATGTAAAGAAACCCTGGCAGCGATATAACAAAAAAAAATGACAGGATAAAGAAATGCATGTGATATATTTTATATGATAGTGCACATGAATAAGTAGCTGATCTTTTTTTTTAAAAAAAAATAAATACGGAGCTGATCTGAGAAAAATGGTAGCTAATCAGAATTGAGACATTATACAGATGTGCAACTTGTCTTGACACTATAGATTTCCAGGCCAGCAAATTAAAAAAAACCTTGGTAATAACAGGTTGATAACAGTAACATTACATGTAATAGTTTTGATATTTTTCTGGGCTGGTCAATTTCCACAGCCATCAGGACGGCTTAATTTTGCAGTGACGTCATTCATACGTCACTAATTTAGGTCAGTTGGAAAAATTCATATACTAATAATAATAATAATAATAATAAAAGCTTTATTTAACGAAGGTTTAAACTTTCAGTCATAGACTGGTTTACAAAATGCCTTCCTAAAGATATAAAATACAATGTAAAAGCAAGCTAATAATATATATTTATAAAATATCTAGTAGATTAAATATCATCCCAAAAAGCAACCGTAACCCTGACCCAACCCCAGTAAATTACTATTTACTCATAAATATAAATATTAAGTATAAAGTGAATATATAAAATCCCATACCAGCCCTTAATCCTACCCCCATAAAAAATCCATGTGCAAATAGGCTGCAAAACAGTCCCCACCCTCCCACAAACCATCCGCAGGAACGAGGCCACACTCAATCGAGTGCTGAACTCGCCCCAATGGACGGTCCCCAAAAAAGTAGGGACTGCCCTGCAGTCCAATGCACAGAAATGTAAAAATTGAAATTAACCAAATAGATTAAAAATTAAATAACTAAAGAAGAATTTAAAATTATGATCATGTGGCAGACCTGCTGCTCCAATATTTCTTTCGGAACTCCTTAAGGGAGAGTGAATTGCGTGTTTCTAAATCTAAAGAATTCCACAGTAATGAGCCAGTAACCCTAAGTGATTTCTT